CACCACACAGATTACCTCCACAGGTGGGCCACTGCTGCTGCCAGATAATAATGCTGTCCTTGGGTTTTTAATATTTAGGCAGAACACGTTTATTTGTATAGCAGATGCTATGCACTGAGGGCTCACATTTTCTTTTTAAATAATTTAATTATGCAAAAAACAATTAATAAAGCGTTGAAATATAAATATTGAACACAAAGTAGAAGAGTTATATACTCTCTGCATGTTCATTCGGATGCTTTTTCTTAAATAACAATATAATATTTATAATGTATTTGTTGTCAGCCAGGACAGGCTGAATTGAAAGATGTTGAGTATCAGCATACATATTGGCTGTTGGCATCTTGAAGCAAGAAAACTCAGTTTCAGATTTAGGCACCTTTACCCAAATGAAAGTTTTTAAGACCAATCTGACAAGAACCTTTACTTTCCTCTGGCTTTGCCTCTTTCTAATTAATACCACTATTAATTAGGGATGGGAACGATTAATCGAATATTCAAATATTCTAAATCATTCAGGTATTCAAATATGAGAATATGAGTTATGAATATTTTTATTGTAATTCTTTTTTTTCTTTAAATATTTATTTTTTGGGTGGGGTGCCTAAGTTGATTACATATTATCAAATGGAATAATTCTATGTATATGACAGTGCCATAGCTAAATGTGTTAGGTCTAAAGGTGTGTTTTGCTCCGCTCACCGGTCCCTCACAGCGGGCAGAGCTGCAGGTGCTGATCTCTCTCTCTCTCGCGTCCGGTTATACTTCACTCGAGTTTATGTCCAAATCCATCAGAAAACCAAGTTATGTTTTAAGCATGAAAGCTGTAGGCCTATAGCTGTCAACTGTTCAAACTGTGATCACCAGTTCAATACATTTGACAAATTCGACTTGGTTGCTATACTTATTTGAACATGTATTTATTTATTTTTCAAAATAATATTTTTTGTTTTTGAACATTTTTTTCCCACATTTTTTTTTATAGGATATGTACATTTCGGTTAATCGGTTAACCGTTTTTTTGGGGGTCGAATATTCGAATATACATTTTCTTTCAAATTCCCATCCCTACTATTAATGAATGGAGACAATTTGCAGTGCCCTGAAATAGTATTCATTATTTCAGAAGAAAAGGCTGTGATACTATAAAAACTGGCCAGCATCTCTGTTGTCTACTGTTATTCTTATTCAAATACTGTACCAAAAAAACCCCACTGCATACTTGTGTTGCCACTGTCTCAATAATAGTTGTATTTAATCATCTTGTCAAGACTTACTGTTCATTTCCCACTCCAGACTTTACCCAGAGATTACTTCAGATGAGCAGCGTAGGCAGTACAAGACGGAGTTTGACTCAGACCTGGCCCGCTATAAGAGCCTCTGTGCAGAAATGGATGACGTTAGTGACGAGATGCACAAGCTGAGCCGAGAACTGGACATCCTGGAAGAGGACTCCATGAAGTACCAGGTACAGAAAAAAAGGAGTGAGGAGTCGAACATTCAGGGCAGACTGCCAGGAGAATTTACAGTCATAGCCATCCTCTAACAGCTAAGATCATGCTCAGTAACACAATGCAGTGAAGCTGAAGCAAGATTTTGCTTTTGTGCTAACATTTTAAGATTATCTTATATTGTTAATGTTATAGAGTCAACACAACATGTGTTTTTCTATTTGCAGGGTGTGGCAGATGAGTATAACAGACTCAAAGACCTCAAAAAGGTGAGTGTAATTAAAATTGTCATCATATCATGATGAGTCATTAGTACAATAGTTTGGCATTTTGGAAATTGTTTATTTGTTTTACTGCAGAAAGTTAGATGAGAAGACAAATGCCTCTCGTAACAGTTTATATAAAGCATCAGCATCACGTTATCTTAGCTTAGCATAAAGACTGAATGCAGGGGGAAACAGCTAGTGTAACACACCTTTGAATCTCAGCTGTTACCTTCAACCTCACCAAGTTTAAGAGCCAGCAAAATGGCATGTACAAATCTTTCAAAGGAATAAGTCTAGTTTGGCGCATAACCAACTGTACAACTTCAATTTCCTAGCCTATTTATTCTGTCTGCCCTCCTGTTTCAACTAATTGTAATTAATGGTACCTTGTCTATATCAATTGTCTGAATTAATGTTGAAAAATACTTCAAGTTAAGTTGACAAGCTGTCAGCTGTAAACTTATATTTAAAGTTACGATCTTTAACATTTATAATTTATTGCAAAATTGCGCACTAAAGGTTGATTTCCGATGTGTTTTATTTAAATTTCACTTCCCAAATGTAGCCCGCTTGTTGTTTTTCCTGGTAATGTCACCACAAACTTCTTTGGACCATTATATGGATCGGTGAAATATAGGCTTAATCATAACTTCTACCTAATTTGGCGATAGTGATAGACTCATTTAAATTACATTTATTTTCAGATAAGTACTTTATTACACACATTGAAGAGCCATATTGATAATTGTATTACATTTTTCGGCAAAGAAAGTGAATAAGGATACTTACCTTCTGCTGGTATTGCTACTAATACCAATGATTATGTTCATTGTTTAATATCTGCTTGCTTTTATTTCTCTATCTTTTAGACTTCAGACTATAAAGCGAAGAAGAGGCAGTGCAAAGAACTTCGGCAGAAACTTTTCCACATCAAACGTCTGGTGAAAGTCTTTGACCAAGGTCTGTGTTAGTGTGATGTAACATTCTGTCCGACAGCCGAGGATGAACACTGACACGCTGTGACCTGGCTGCAGAAACTAGGATTGTATCCTCCATTTTCCCTCCAGTTCTACTGCTTTGCTATTTGAATAACAGTTCAGCTCAACATGGCTGTGCTTGCAGCCACTGAACCTCAAGTGTTTTTGACCCCAATGTTTACAACTACTGTGTGTGGCTTTGGCAGCTGTCAGAGTGGATTACTGTCAGGGTAGAGCTACTGGTAGACTTTCATCTGCGTAGTTGTAACAACATGCTACTGTTAACATTTATATTTGTTGTACCTTGTGTAATATTTAAATGGCAATTTTATTTCAACAATCTTTAATTGTTACAGAATGTTGCAGGATGGGAAGCAATGAGTGTCAGTTTTAATACAGAAATAATGTAATGATAAACAGAAATTGAGTCAATTATTTAAACAAATCAACAACTTTTATAAATACACTTCTACATTTAAGGTTCATGTCGCAGTGTTTATTTGGCATTCTTCATACAGATGTAATTACAACATTTTTTCAAATAGTTTGGAAAAAAAAAACATAACAAAAACACACATCGCCATCTTTCGATTATTTTAATAACGTTTCCACACACACAATTTAAAAAAACGTAAGAACTCAGTAACCCAAAGATAGGAAAACATTAATAGCATATTTAGCTTCTTTTTTTTCTATGACATGGATGTGTGAGTTGTTGCGTAAAAGAAAAGTCAAAATAACTTTCGAAAGGCCCGGCGGTAGATCAAGAAGCAGAGTTACATCCTTCTACTTCGTGTTTGAAAACACTAAATGCTGAAATGCCTTGTGTTTAGAGTTGGTTTTGTTTTTTCCTTTCAAATATTTTCCTCATGTAAACCCGCCTCTTTAAATACCAGCATGAGGTAAATCCCAGTGGACCAGCAGATCAGGACCCATCTTTTTTTAACTTAAGCATGATGTTTTGGCATTGAATATCCTCCAAGTGCAGTTTCTCCAACCCATTTCCACCTACAGTATTGTCTCACAGCATTCCCAACAGTATAGACCCACTCAGTTATATCAGCTGTAATGGCATGAAGATAAGCGTCTTTTTTGACATCTAAGCAGATGACGGAGGTATTTTCATGTAAATACATATAGAAAAAAAACATTTAGAAGTAAACAGTGAAAGCAATACTTACATGTTTAAATGAAACTTGAATTACATTATGTAAAAGAATAAAACAAGTCTCCACTTAGCAGAGATCCAAAACAACATTTCAACATGCAAAAAAAAACAAAGTTGGCTTCAATATATATATATATCTACATATCAACACATTTTGTCAGGGATCATTACCCCCAGAAACAGAATTGATCGACGTAAACTGGTGTTTTCATTAGTAGTGTTGGATATAAACTCTCACCACCAACTGTAACTAATAGGGCTGTCCCGAATACCATTTTTCGGGCTCCGGATAGTCGGTAGTAATCAGCAGCGAATATTCGGTCCACACGGGGGGGTGGTATTTCGGTATATTCACGGCATTCATTTTGTTATTCTACAGTATTGTTGTTTTATAGTTATTTGTTCAAGTATATAACCTATTTTGTGTTTATTCACAGCATTCATTTTGTTATTCTACAGTATTGTTGTTTTATAGTTATTTGTTCAAGTATATAACCTAATTTGTGTTCTTTGAAATTGAAAAGGATATTGCATTGTGTTTGTTACTTTCGTTGCAGTTGTATTATGTCTTAAGTGTAATTTGGCTTGGCTTTCTATTTTTTATGGACATGCTTTTATTTTGAAGGAGAGTTAGCCCTGTTGACAGGAAGTTGTTGTTGCTATGGAAACAACGTGACGGAGATTAACGGAGAAAAGTCATAATCTACATATAAAGACGGATAAAGTAAACGATAACGTTTATGGTTAAGTGTTAGCACCCCCCCGAAGAGGCACAAGCTCTTACGTTGATATTGGAGATTTCAATAAAAAACAAAAATGAATAAATTGAAACCCGAATAGTACTCCAATGAACGGATATTCGGGTACAGCCCTAATAACTCATTGATATATCTTCAGTTGTTTGTTTTAAAAGGACCCGAGTTGATGTCAGCCTGCTATTTCTCCAAAGAAACAAAAAAAAGCTTGATCCAAACATTGCTTGATAGCTGAATTCCCCCTGATTCAATGGGTCAAATCATGTTGTTTTTTTAAAGATACAAGACAAATGTTGGTGATGCTCACCCCAAATTCAGAATGAAAAACAAGGCAGTTGTCAAAAAGAAGGCGGTTTCTGGTGAACAACATTTACAGAGGTTTGTGTTTAGGAAATATCAGACTGAAGCATTCTGATGTCTAGTGAGGTATAAGTCCGCTCTCCTGTAACTGCGGCTTTATGACAGAAACAGTGATCCCTGTGAATGAGTTTAAATGCATTGTTCTGTTGATGGTCAGGCAGTCACAAGAGTCCGTTTATCTCTCTGCTTTGTGGACCAATTATTCTAATCAGAAGCCATCTCTGAGGATGAAATTATAGACTTTGGTGATTTTTCCTTGGTTTTGTTTTCTTTCTGGTTCCATATGATCCATTCCCTCCTCAGTGTTGAGCTAGAAGAGCTTTGCTTCAAAAACAAGCTCTTACTTTGTCCCATATTCAGTTCACCACAGTTCAATTAGATCCACTCTAATCATGTAATTGTAATGTTATCATTGTGGATAAAAAGGTCAATGTATCACAAAGGGTGAGCTGTGGAAAATGAGCCCAGTGTGGGGAAAATTGTTCTGCTGACGTTCAGCGGCGGGACCGTTTTGTCCTCTAGATTTTGTGTGTGTGTGTGTGTGTGGGGGGGGGGGGGGGGGGTCCTGCTGCCCTCTACATGAAACTGGAGTGTCTTTAGTCACTGTTGCATGTGGGTGGTGGCATGACTGGCCGTGGTGGCCATATCGGAGCCCAGCATGAAAAGCTGTTCGCTGCCCTGAGACCTGGCACCAGAGCGACTGGGCTGGCAACAAGACAGATCCTGGCTGGCACTGGCTCCTCTCTTTACTGGAGGCCGTGTGGAGACAGAGGGATCATTTCATGAGAGTGAATAGAGTGGTTACAGTACAGGTCATATGACGGCCAGCTGGCACTGCAGTTTGATAACCACACAGATGGATAGTGATGAGTCAGGAGGTTTCCTGTGGGTCTTTGTCGTCACTAATCCCAGACGGAGACCTCATCCGTAAGCGGGCTACTGTCCTGGGACATACGGCCAGCTGATGGAGCTTCCGGAGAGCTGCATGTCACGAATCAGCGTCTCGATGGGGGTCTTTCCTACCAGGCGCATGAAAAAGAGCTGCGAGATGAGGCTGGCTGGAACGGCGCGCAAGGCAGGGAGGCGCAGGAGCAGGCGTCCGAAGCGCTGAGGCTGACTCGGGTACTGCATCCTCTCGTACTCCGTCAGAGCTACCTGAGCCTTCTCCTGCAGAGACTCCACGTGGACCGGGTCTGTTAGACCACAGGCGTCTGAGGGGGAGGGAGAAGGAGGCCGTTATTTAATACTGTGGGCAGGTTACATAAAGAGTCGTGATGAGAAATCCAGGCAGATAATAATAATAATAATAATAATAATAAAATGCCCCCGAGGTGAACACATAAAATATAGTGCTCGGCATGTCTACCCTGTAAAAACAAGACATTAAAAACCTATATCACAGCTTTAAAAAAGGAATACAAGGATGGGGTCTTTAAAAAATATTTGAATGCTTTTGGATGAGGCAAACCCACAAGGCAAATTGTTTTAAAAGGAGGCCACTAAAACAAGTCTTAAAATGCAATGTGCTGTATAATGATCAGTGATGGCACTGAATTATGCAGCACATAGTGCGTTTTCATTAATAAGCCAGGAGATGGTGCCATTGTATCAATTCCCAGATGGAGGTTGCACATTTACCTGCAGCCCCACAGATATTTAGGCTGTATGTGACATTTTCAATTTTAAAATATACCGTTTTCCAAGACGCTTACTTTGTGTGTTTAGTTCCTATCCATAGTTATAAAGAGAGGCGCGATAAATATTTTGAAAATTAAGATAGTAACATAAGACAAACACAACATAATTCAGTTTGGCTACAATCCACTAATTTTAGCAGCATATTAAAAAGAAAAAAAACATCAATCAATCTACATCTACCTTTATGTATATATGTCTAATAATGATAAAGCATATACAATTAGATGGATGTGTAGTTATGGCTGTCATGGAATTAAGATCAGTTTACCATGTTTAGTTGTTGTTTAATTGATTAGCGTTTTCTTTGGCTCTGTGGGAGCTTTTTTTTAAGTGTGAAAAAGGTAGTCCCGGTGATGTCATCAGCATTATGTTGGCTGATGTCTGAATACGACTAATTTTAAAGTTGAACACTTTGTGCAGAGTTTAAAAGATGAATGAGAAACAACTTTATGGACAAGATTTAAACGCTGGAGTGCCACTTTAGAATGCCTGAGGTGGTTGGGCAGCACATTGTGTTACGATAACATCAGATGGAACAGAAGAGCAGCAACAATCACCTGGTGAAAACAGCGCGATGGCCTTGAGGCAACTGTACTCAGCCGAGTCCACCTGCAGCCGGGTCAGCTTGTCCACCTGGTCCTGGAACACCCTCACCTGGTCCATGAAGGACACGACGCGCTCCGCGGACATGGGCGAGGAGTGGAAGCCGGCTGCGGCCAACAAGGGGGCCATGTGTAGTGGCAGGGCCGACTGGGCCGCGTTGAGGATGAACAGCTCGCTCCAGCTCAGCCTCAGCAGAGCTACCTGTGGATTGGTGAGTGTGTTAATATGATTGACCTACACTGTCATCATCCATTTTTAATGTTCATTGTATTCATTGTATATTTATGTTTCCATGTAGACAACCTTTTCTCATGGAAACATACCAAAGAATAGCATCTGATAACCAGGGAATAACTGCAACATATCCAAACACAATTTAAAATCGAATCTGCTAACCTGATCTGACACAGGCAGCTCGGGAAAATAAGGGATGCTCCTGGCCCATTCCACAGTGCTGAAGAGTAGCCTTGCAGCCAGTTCACAGATGTTATCGATCCCCATGGCGTTATCCGGACCGGCCTGCTGGTTGTACTGGTGACCAAACCTACTGCTCGGGTACGGCTCAGCTCGCAGCAGCTGGGAAATGAGCTCCGACACCGGCTGACCTCCGCCACTCCCTCCGTTGTTGTTGTTGTTGTTGTAGAAGTCGCCACCTCCAAGGCCGCTGGCTCCACCTAAGGGGGTGATGGAGGGGCTGAGGCTCGGCTGCGGTGGGATCCGACCGCGTTGAACTGCTGTAGTTTAGTTGGGGTACAAAGGGGAGGAGAGGAAGGGTGGGGAGGAAACAAAGAGAGAAGAAAGAGAAGAGATGGAAGCAAAGGGAATGGGAAAAGGGCAGATAAAAAGAGACGGAAGATGAAGGCAAAGGGGAGGTATAGGAAGGGATTTGGAGAAGAAAACGGAGGGAAAGAAAACTTAAAACTGAGTTCAGCCAGCGGTAAATGTCAGATTATCAGAATACAGGCACAATCAAGTCTAGATTGATTCCTCAAGAAAAGCTTGAAAGTGAGGGGACACATTCTTGTGCTTGTCAGGTTTGATGAAGGTTATCTATGGAAATGAAACAAAGACTCCGAGACAAAAGATTACTCTCCATTCAAAATTCAAACCTCTGAAATATTTATTCTGGAGGGGAATTACAGCACGCTATTTCATTAACCATAATACACACAGATTTGATCCTGCCCTCCAAATCACCCTATGAGAAAGAACATCACTACAGACACATTGACTTCCAAAACAAAGCAGCAGGGCAGAATACTGGATAGAGTTAAGTTAATTTGTGCGTATTCATGCTGTAAGCATCTGTTCTGTCTAGGTGTCCTTGAGCAACAGACTCCAGCCTGAGGAATGCTCTGTAGCTGACCCTGACCTCTCTGTGGAGATAGTCAAGCAGAGGCAATCTCTCTGCAGGGAGCAATAATGAGTCTCATTAGCAAGCTTTACGATCTGTGAGTATTAGAGGGGGGAAACAATTGTTCTAAAAATCTAACGAACCAGGTCAAAACAACGTGATTGTTTTTTGTTTAAACATCGGCATGACGTTGAACAATACTTCAATCTGGGCTCTGCCACTTCGGTTGAAAACCCTGTATTGGATTTTGTCTGATTTAGCCAACAAGGCAGAGGGTTTGTGCAGCTTCACCCAGAGGCTTAAGGCTCTGGGAAGCAGGTGTCTTAGCACTGTATCCCTCTCAGTCACTCTTAAACAGGCACTAGATTAAGCCACTTAGCACATGGCATTGAGCTGACACGCATGGCTTCCTTTGCCATGATAGGGCCTAGACAGCCATGTGTGGCATTTTCCCTGCACTATGGAGCCCATGGAGCAGAAGAAACAAGATAACGTTGAAGGCAAATTTAACTATTATTTGTTATTGTCCTAAGAGCTGCTGATTGTAGTAATGGAATGTCTCTTTGATACTCTTCAGTAAAGGAAATATCAATTTTTTTATTTGCCATATTGCTCATGCGCAGTGGCAGTGTGTCCCACAGTGTCTCAAATAATTTCTTAAGGGATCAAAATGGATTGCGGATTTACAGATCAGGGTAGGCAGATACCTTCTTTGCGCATGCCAACACGGAAACATTTCTTCAGTCGACAGTACTGGCACTGGTTCCTGTGGTGCTGGTCAATCTGACACTCTCTGTTTGACCTGAGGACATAAACACATGATATTGTTGATTATTGCTTACCAACATAATAATTTAGTCTGATGACATGCAGACTGTGTGATCTGCTTTGTGGTTTTGTGACTTTACTGGTTTTCATGAAGATGATAAAAACTATCCAACCCTGATGGCAAAAGTACAATCAATCCATCCTTTACTGCTGCAAAGTGTATGTCAAACTTTTGAATGTACATCATATAAAAAACTGTCATATTGATTATATAATTGTCTATGCGATGATACAAAGACTTCCTTTTTAAAGTGCTCTCAAACATTAATATTGCATCAGATTTAGCCTACCACAAGGCCTCAGAGAATGTTGCTATGCTTAGAAAGCATGATGACTGTTTCATTCAGTGTTACTTCTTCCACATACAGTATTGTTCTTATCTGTAGTGTACAACATACTCTTTCATATTTACTCAGCTATAAAGTAGAGCAGAGACAATTGGTTGTGAACTCAATAAACAGAAAACACTGTCTGCTACTTTTTTGATAATCAGTTCATTGTTACAATAATTTTCAAGTGCAACATGCCAAATCTTCCGTGTAAAATCTTTCAAATTCTAGTTCTGATTTTGATTGTTTTGTTCACACCAAACAAGTATCATGAAATCACCAGCATGGGCTCCTAGAAATTGTAAATGGTATATTTTTTATAGAACATAAACCTAAATCAGAAATAGAGAGAGAAATACTAAAAGACTGAGATCTATATATTGGAAAAAGTAATTTGCAGTCCTTTAGTCAAGACAATATTGGCACTGAAATAGTTTGTCGACTTAAACATCTCACTGAGTCCGACCGCCTTTTCCATCTGATGTTTACCTTGTGGCATAAGGCATTGGAACTTACTTCCACTTGAGCTTAAAATGTGCAGACTTTTCAGACTATGTTATAATAGATAGATGTGTTGTAGAGATCATAGTAGTGGTGTTGCATATACATTAATGTTTTAACTGCCTGTTTGTTGTTTTCTGTTTACCTGCCCATGCATGGACTGGAGATGAACATTAGATATATCAGGCATAACATGTTATTCTTGATCTGAATAATTATAGCAAACAGTCCCAGGCTGTAGTTTCTCTCTTGAATTTGGATATTATGCAGAAACTCTATATATGGTTTGATGTACGGCATGCTTCACAAGCATTATACTTATATTATACTCTCAAACTAGGGATGCAATTACCAATAGTTCTGCCACAATTTACTCATTTATTGAGTAAATACAACTAGTTTTTAAATCAGACCATGAAAAATCACAAAGATATGTAGTTCATACAGGACAAACAGCAGGCACATTTGTGATGATGGAACCAGACAATGTGTGGCATGTTTGATTGAAAACTTAAATCCTTAGCAGAACAGAAATAGAACATAATATTGATAGTTTCAGTGCCATAGAGACACCTTTAAAAATGAAAATGCTAGGCTATATTTGTGGTTCCCTGTATATTCCTTTTATTTTTACATTTGCTTTATGCATAATAAAAGCACATGGTTAGCATTGTACCTACTAAATACTCAATTACATTAGAAAGACAACAGCCTCGTTGCTTATGGAAACCAAACAATGTATTGATAGTGTATAACAATGTATAGCTTAGCTTACATTGTACCTTTTAGCAACTTGTATAAAAAAAAAACACACGATACTATCAACAAACCAAACAAAACTACCCACAATGCCCCTCACCTGCATGTGTAGTTGAGATTCCTCCGCACGCTCCTCTTGAAGAAGCTCTTGCATCCCTCGCACGTGAACACGCCGTAGTGTTTCCCGCTGGACTTGTCCCCGCACACCACGCAGTCCACCACGCACGACTTGTCATCGTCCCCGGCCTCCATGTCGCTTCCTCCCGCCTGCGGAGAGCCGTCTTCGTCCTCCCCCCTCAGGTAACTCTTTTCCCCCAGCCCGTTCGTGCCCCCGTTGGGATCTCCCCAGCCCCCACTCACCATGGCCATCGCTTGGTTACCGAACCACGGAGGAAGAAAATGGGACAGACCGCCAAGATGTCTGGCTGCTGTCAAGGTAACATAAATATAAGAAAGTCCAGAGTGTGTCTCCCCTCACCTGAAATGGATCAGTGTTGCCTGCTTGTTTGTGCTCACCTTCGTTAATCAAGGTAATTAGAGCTTATATTGACAGAAGATAAAGAGTCCTCAGGCTTAACAAGCAGATGTCAATTAGAGACAAAATAGGCTACAGCATTGAGAGGGAGGGTGTCAGAAAAAAGAGCGGTTCGGTCTCCTCCCACTCCACTATGACCTGGAAACAGTCAGTGTGGCAACTTTTAGTTTTGCATGCCTGAGGATTTACATTCCCCCTATTCTTGTCTTCTTTCCTCCAGCTGTGTTGTTTTGGTCCTTTTCTTTACACCGATTCCTGAGATGGCTCAAAAGTAGCCTGCTCGATCGCTGCCTGGTCAAACGGTCTCATCCAAGGAACCTTTCCACAGGAAACAATGAATCAAACATACAGTGCACATTCCACTAAAAGAGAGCAAAGGCTGAAAAGATATTCAAGCAAATTACATGGGGGAAATCTGCCCTAGCACACCGCTGCACTCCCAGCTCTGTCTCTGTAGCAACAGTAATGGCTGAAAAAGGACCTTGGTGTAGCTCGCCTTAGCACATGCCTGGAGAGGCTTTGACCACCCCTTTTAAAGCACCCCATACACCAAATGTTATCCCTGCTTGCGCCAGTTATTCCTCATATAAGGTTGCTGTCTACCAAAAGATTGCCTCTAAATCCTTGTAGAAATAATGTCAAGCTTACCTGGACGTATATGTGGCTTTCCTTCCTTCAAATTAAATCCTTTTTCTTGCCCTAGATCTTCCTCCCATTCAGCGAGCCTGAGAGCGCAGACACAGCTCTCCTATTCTGCTGTAATCCCCTCAGCGGCAGCAGCATTGTGACCCACAATGAAGTCATTCCTCATCAAGCAAAAACAAGTTGATGTCCTCACAACAACATCACTCACATGTGGCCGTGGTTCAGCTGCAGCAGACTGCGCTCACCTCCTAAATACACGAGTATAGATCCTCAACACAAGGAAGTGATCTGTCTCTTCCCTGCTTGTTGTAGCACGGCTGCTCGGTTGTGACAATGTCCTCCGTGCTGCTTCTTTCCCCAAAACAAAATAAAAAAGCAGCAGAACGTCCTTGTGCTCAGCCCTCCATAGTTCCTGTGGTCGCTCTCCAGGCACTCATGCGGACTTCTCTCTCACAGCCTTTTGTCAGTGCTTGCCCACCAGGAACTAATGACTTGCGGCCTAGCCCTCTGTGTGCTCCTCTTTCGTCCGTGTGTGTGTGTGAAGCCTTTGCCTATGGCTCAGGCAAAACAGGAGGTGGGGGTGGAAGGGGACGTGTGCTGCTCTCCCCCCCTCTTTCTCTCAGGCTTCAGAGTCCACAAATGAAATTATGATTGAAGAAAATGGCCACAGCCGGAGAAAGGCTGGATTTTTTTTTTTTTTTTTTCTGGGTTTTTTCTTCTTCTTCCTCGCCCCTCTTTCCCCTTGTCTGTTTTCATCCAACCTATTTGTGTGTGTTGAGAGAGAGATCAAGCAAGGGAGGGAGAGTATGTGCAGAGGGGGAGGGGGCCGTCTCTCTGTGTGTGTGTGTATGTGTGTGTGTGCTCCCAGGGATTTGACACTGCTATTCAAGCCCTGCGGTTTCCATGGTGCTGGCTGCCTTATATGGCTATTGGAGTCAAAGAGCAAAGAGAGTGGGCTGTGTGGGGCAACACACACACACACACACACACACACACACACACACACACACACACACACACACACACACACACACACACACACACACACACAGGAAGGATGTGGAGGATCTCTCTCCTCGGAGATGCAGAGAGCATGACCCCTTGGCCTCAAAAAACACCCCGACAATACCAGATTACCCTAAAGCCTCGCTGCAAATACAAGCAAGCCGAGCTGCTGCCTGCCCTTTGTCTTTCAGAAAGCAATCAAATGTCAGGGTGAAAGTTTCCACATTGCCATACATGATGTAAAAAGCCGTGCAAAGAAACAGAGAGATGAACTTTATTTCTCAAAGGGAGGATATATCTTTCAAACTCGAATAGCACACTTTGATCTGGCGAATGTGTGAGCAGCCCGCTCGAGATCAGCTTATTGTCTTGGAAATAAAGGTCATCGTTTTGTGGTCATTGCTCATTTGCTCAAGGCCCTCTGTCTGTGGGCTTTGTGGAGCACGCAGTGATTTGTGTTTGAGGTTACCCGGAGAGGTCAAACAGACTTTCACACCCTGCCACGCTAAAAGCCCAGGGTCAAATGCAGATAAAGGGGAGGGGGGGACGCACAGCAGCCCTGGATAAGAGCTTTAAAAGATAAGTGATGAATCTGCTTGTAAATGTGCAGCTCTTCGGGGGTTTGGGGGGGATGGCAGACGTAGATAGGGCGAGATGAAAGTCCTCTGAGACATTCACTATATGCAACTTGTTGTCTTATCTGCAGAGCGTTTACAGACATTTTAAAGGCATTCTTTTCCCCCTCAAACACTTTTACGGCATTCCTAAATCTAAACCCGGCTTTACCCCCTGGAGAACAGAAATGTGTGTGTGTGTGTGTGTGTGCGACAGAGAAGCATTGTGCAGCTAATGGGTCATCAGAGGTGTGTGTGTGTGTGCGTGAATTTGAATGGAAGTCCCTTTAATTAGGCCGCTGTGCCTGCTTATTGTCACTTCTTGTGTTGGGAAAGATTAGGCTTGTCAAATAAAGGCTGCTTGTAAAGAACTGTGTGTCTGTGTGTGAGAAGATCAGATACCCACCGAGCTGTTAATCAATAGTTTTGTTCCATTAAAAAAAAACTCACATTTGAGTTGAATTGTACTCTTTATTGCTTATATTATTGTTTATTTAACTCTGTTTTGACGATTTTGATAAAATACTCAAAATTACAGATAGTGGATCTGCAATTTTGAATATTTTATCACATCTCTTAGTTTCATTTCAGTCACGTTTATCTGTAAAACAAATGGTCCACATTGACATTTATTTAATAATAAAGCACGTTTTATACACCAAGTGCAGCTTGAAGTGCTTTAACAATAAGGCACACATCACAAATACAAATTCACTTCAGGTCAAACGTTACAACCTTTTTGCACACGTGCAACATAAAAAACAAATACATTTAAGGGGCACAAGGAGGTAAAAGGTATGATAATAAAATAAATAATGATCTCTGTAAAATAAGGAAGACGTAAGAGAAAACAAATTAATAAATCAAATTGAATATTAAAACTTTTAAAAAAAATAGTTGTAACTATAATAATACAAATAACCATTTTAAAAGGGGATGTTGCTAATACATCTACAACATAAATAATTAAAAAATCTATTAAACTTATAAAATAAACCAATATATAAATAATAAAGATTAAAAAGGGATTTCTAATAAAAGCTAATCTAAAGAAAGGATTCTCCATCTGTCGATTTCAGCTGCTTTTAGATAATTTTCTACCCAGCAACTAAAGGTTTGCCTAATCTTGTCTTAACTCTGCTTCAGTGCTCCTGTGGATTTCAGCCCCAGGATACTGCACTGCTTCTGTGTCGACATTAAGCTTCACCTTACCGAAATACAGAAGAATCAGAAATAATTTATTAGTCCAACATTGGGGAATTGTACATTATAAAGAGACAGATAAAAGGCAAACAAGTAGGTAGTTCAGTAATTGACATTACAATAGCATTTGAAAAGAGTATTTCACATATGAAGGAAAAGTAGACAGATTCAAAAAAGATGCTGCACATCATTTCCACTTCAGTGTGTGTCCGTCTGTCGGAGAGATATCACTTGGGGCAGGAGTGACGAGACCTTTGAACTGACAGTCAGGAATGTGGTTGCTCCCAGCGATGGCATCCAGAAATGCAAGAATGCAAAAAAAGATGTCTACCAAGCTGGCAGCCTATCAGATAACGCACATAGACGTAGCTGACACTGAGCAGCACAGTGGTAAAATAGCTACTTGGATTTAATAAAAACTCTCAAACTTATTAAATGGTCAGGTATAACCTAAATCATAAACTCTAATTGACATTGTGTGCAATGCCCAATGTGGCCACTAGTACAACAAATTGGCTCAGTGGACGACACTGCCATAACAATCTTAAATGACACATACACTATACAGACAAAAGTATTGGGCGACCTACACATTATGACATCCCATTCCAAATTCTTAGGTATTAATATGAAGTTGGTCCCCCCTTTGCTGCCCTCTCAACCTTCCACTCTTCTGGGAAGGCTTTCTACAAGATTTTGGAGTGTGTCTGTGGGAATCTTTGCCCATTCATCCAGAAGAGCATTTGTAAGGTCAGATACTGATATTGGACGAGAAGGCCTGGCTCGCAATCTCCGTTCTAGTTCATCCCAAAGGTGTTTAATGGGGTTGAGGTCAGGGCTCTGCGGGCCAGTCAAGTTCTTCCACACCAAACTCACCCAACCATGCCTTTATGGACCTTGCTTTGTGCACTGGGGCACAGTCATGCTGGAACAGAAGAAGAATAATTTCCCCACTCACTCTGTTGTGTTTACACACATAGGGGAGGATATACATGCACAAACACAGAGGATACACACACAACCACATGCAGATAGGAGAGGTGGCAGAGCAGAGAGGCTGCCCGGCGCCAAGGGAGCAGTTTCGAGGTTAGGTGCCTTGCTCAAGGGCACCTCGGCAGTGGCCTTGGCGGTGAACTGGCACCTCTCCAGCTACCAGCTCACTCCATCTTTTTTTGGTCCGATCGGGATGTAAACCGGCGACCCTTCGGTTCCAAGACCAAGTCCCTACAGACTGAGCCACTGCCGCCTCGAAAGGGCCTTCCCCAAACTGTCTCCACAAAGTTGGAAGCCTAGAATTGTCTAAAATGACTTGGTAAGATGAAGCATTAAGAAACCCCTTCACTGGGACTAAGGGCACTAGGCCGACTCCAGAAAAACAACCCATAGCATTATCCCTCCTCCACCAAACTTTACAATGTAGTCAGGCAGGTAATGTTCTCCTGGCATTCGCCAAACCAGACTGGTCCATCAGAGGACAGATAGAGAAGTGTGATTGGTCACTCCACAGAACATGTTTCCACTGCTCCAGAGTCCAGTGGCTTTACACCACCCCATCCGATGCTTGGCATTGTGCTCGGTGATGTAAGGCCTGCATGCAGCTGCTCGGCCATGAAAACCCATGCTATGAAGCTCCCGGCACACAGTTTTGGTGCTGATATTAATGCCATGGCTAGGTGTTTGATTTTATACACCTGTGGCAATGGGACTGAAACACCTGAAGTCAATGATTAAGATATTTGTCTATATAGTGTATGTATATCCTCGCTAAAAAAACAAACTCATATCAGACATAAATAGTTGTTAAATGAAAAACTATATCCATTTATTTGACATCTGATTACGATATAAAACTACATTAAATGTAAGTAACCTCAGAAGATTGTCCATGTAAACAGGTTTAGTGTGCATTGTATTATACCCACTGACCATCAAATGGTATGAAAGACAAATAGTGTCTGCTTAAGGCTATTTATCTGAGGGTATCTCTTATCCGAAATAAACGTAGCTTGTCCAACCTGACCACAAAAATGCAACTTCAGTTCCTGCTACAATGACCTGCTCTGTTGGGTCCTTGAATTTGAAGGAATTGGGCGTGCAGATTCCTTGAATTATATATTGAAGAAAGTGTGGGAACCCTGTATTCATACATTCTGTGCTTAAATGATAACATATTTTTAACTGAATATCTTCTGATCACACAAAGGAAAACCCAAAATAAGTCAATCTGTTTTTAACCCTTAAAACTAATATCAACAGAAAAGTCAAAGTCAAACACTATCATTCAGAATCACCTTTATATACGCTATATCCTTTATAGTTTTAAAATTGTAGTTTCATGCAAAAGCCCAATCCTGCTTTCATAAAGGTAATACTATTGAGCTTTGTTTTGAAGAGATGTTGATTAAAACCTTATTGACATTTTTGTTAGATTAAAGTTAATCTTTTTTTGCAGCTTTTACTGCTAGAATCTGAAGTTGAACAGGATATATTACATTACATGTCATTTGTTAGACGCTTTTATCCAAAGCGACTTACATACATTCAGTACTGTGGACAATCCCCACAGGAGCAATTTGTATATATATATATATATATATATATATTGCCTGACTCTTGTATAAGACTGCAATAGTTTTTTCTAGATGTACCCAACAAAAACTGTCAACTGCAGGCATGTAAAAGGCAAGGCAAGTTGATTTATATAGCACTTTTCAAGGCAATTCAAAGTGCTTTACAAAAAATGAAAGACATTAAGAAAATGGCATTTAAAATCAGTCATTAAAAAGAAAAGATAATAAAATAAACATTAAAAGAAAAAATACATGGATAAAAGTTACAGTGCAGTCTAAGATGTGAATAGTTCAATTAAAAGCAGTGGCAAAAAGAAAAGTCTTCAGCCTGGATTTAAAAGTAGTGAGAGTTGCAGCGGACCTGCAGGTTTCTG